CTCCAAGCCGTTTCAAGCACAATAGAAGACGTGACTCCGGAGCTTTTTCTTATCCCACCCCCAGGGCGTGCTGAAAGAAACATGTGTCGGCGATTTCAAACAAATCAGCTACAATAACAACAGTTTGGAGTGTCAGTGAATCTTCGCTGACGATAATTTTTTTTTTTTTCTCAACTACAGATTTTTTCTTGTGGACCTACTATTTAAAGTCTTTTATAATCCACGGCTATTTCTGTGAACCAACTACCCAAAGACTTCAACTCAACTAAAGACTATTTTTACTCCTTTTTTAATCTTTTGAATTTATGTACATATGTTTGTAAATAAAAATGATTTATTTAATAGATATAGCCCTGTTTTCTTTATTTTTATTTTATCATTGTTTGGAATTTAGGCGTTCGGATTTTTAACATGAAAAATATGGACGCCATAATTTCTTATAAAGCCTTGCTCTCGACGTGACATTGTTGTGGTTATGCATTACGATGAGTGTAAAATCTTAAGTCAACTTTCTTGCTCGAAAGAAAATCTTTTATTCAAATTGCTTATTGCAATGTTGCAAAATATTTTTTGTCAAGCTTCAGTAATTTATAATAAAGGATTACTTTTGAGTTCCCTCAAAACACACACACACACACACACTTGTACACGGACTCACTCACACAAAATAGCGAAGAAATCTTTCCTGACATACACTTTTTCGTGTAGTTTTTTTAATCATTTAATCCCAAGATAGGCAATAAAGCCACTAAGACGCAAAGGATTACTGAGTGTTGGAGAATATAGAAAAAATATACTATTAAAGGGAGAAGACAATAAAAGGACAAGAATTAAGAAGACAGAAGATAACGATTGACATTGCATTTAAATTTTTGAAGATCAAAGTTGACAGGGAAACAAGAAGCCGGAAGAGAGTTCCACAAGCTAGAAGTGCGACAGAAGAATACATCTTTTATATTTCGATATTTCTTAATAAATGTAAATTTCTGTAATTAATTAACTGGTACATTTTTTTTAAAGAATCAGAAATTTCCTTTCATGGACTTCAAAATAAACATGAAAAAAAATCACAAAGTATACGGGATTTTTAATGACATCAAGTCGAGCAGATAACAAGAGACAATTGAATAGTTTAAGGATATTTTATATGCAACAATAACATATACATTATAGCATGAATTGAGAGAGTTGCTAAAAAACGTACTTTTAGTGAGTGTAGTCAAACAATTGGGTCAATTCTAAGACATTTCAGTTAGAAACCGTTTGTTACACTTATCTGTCATTCAAACAAAGGTTGTTTGTCTCCAGGGCTATCTGGAAGATTCAAACATATCTTCTTTTGAGAGGTGGGCCTTCTTGCTCGTAACTGGTTTGAGCGTAGGTCCTCAGAGTTCAGCTAAAGACAACTGTCTCTTTCGATAAACTTAGCGTTCGTAATTATGCGCCAAATAAGATTTGGCACAAAAACTGGATTATACCATTAAAAGTAGATAACAGAATCTTCCAATAGGTCAGTTATGTGCCATACGGGATACACGCTTAGGTGAGCATGTATCTTTCGATATATGACTTACGAGGCAGATTTTTTTGCCCGCAGTAGGTTGTCATTCCTTTCTGCGGTACACCAGTTGCCATCCATCTGTCCTGCTACTTAACTATAGCTGGGGGAGAAGAGGGTTCATACCTTTCCCAAGGGTATTAGTGAATGTAAGTGGATTCGACTGAAATTCGAACTCTGCTCTCTGATCCGCTATCCATTACTCAACCGTGCCTCCTCATCAAGGATGGATAACCTAATTTCTTAGAGATCTAAAAGGATATAAAGCTGACACATCTGAGCTAGAAAAAAGAAGGGACTGCGAGAATGACGAGGAGACAGAACAGAGACGCTACTGACGGAGAAACCAGTCATGTATGACGCGTGAAGAAGTAAAGAGCATGGGCAGACTGAGCCATCGGTCAATCGGACCATGCCCGAGGGCCCGGCACTGCTAGGGGGCCCGCCTGGTTGCCAATAAAATTATCAAAGATGTCCTTGTTATATACTCTAATAGATGCAGTCTGACTCGGGTCACTCAGCTGCACATCATTGTGTGTGTGTGTCTCCTTTTGATTTCGCCGCACCCCTTGCCTGGTTGAAGGGAAGATGCAATAAATCATTTTAACCTTCCAAGAATATTCGGATGATTATAAACCTGGCGCCTCTGTAGTCTGTAGTACCGGTCAAGTCTTGGCGAACAATCTGAGGGGTTCATTCAGTCATCCTGCTCCCATCTCCGTCACTCCCAAAAGTCACTGCTAAAATCTTCATAAGACTTGTTAGAATTTGCAAAGAAACGACACCTTTTTCCTAACTCCTGTCTGTTGTCAAGCATTTTAGTAAGTTAAAATACTGACTGTATTGATTATTTTGTTTACATCTATAATTATGCTAATTTGATAAAAATATTGAGGATTTATAGTAAATTTAAATTCGCATTATGTGATTTCTTAAGTCATGCGAGCTAGATTCTCGTCTCATGAAAAATTCTATAAGCAGATTTCCTGCTTTGACCCAAACAGGTTTTCTGAAATCTTGGCATCTCCACAAAACGTGGAGCTAGGTTTGATTGCTAATACAGTATCAGTAATTGACAGAGTGGCACTACAGGATGAACTGATTTCATTTGCATCAAGCTACAAAGACCTGAAGAAGGGACTGCTAGAGAATATGAATGACAATGAAAATGATTCAGACAGCTTGGAGTCAGAGGGGGAGTATACAGAAGTTGCTGAATCATCTGCCAAGACATCATGTAAGAACTGTTTGTCATGTGCTTTCGAGTTGTTATCAGAGTACAAGCTGTGTGCAGCATATGCAGCATATAAATTCATTGTAACACTAAGTGTCACACAGTGCACATGTGAAAGATGTTTTTTCTAAACTAAGACTGTTGAAAACAAGGCTAAGGTCTTCACTCACCCAGAATAACTTGGAGTCACTTATGCTAATTGCTATTAAAAAAGACATTGCAATAAAATCAAATCAAATCAAAGACAAAATTATTGATAAAATTGCAGAATTCTCTGTTGAAATAAGTACAGTGTTGTTACTGTAATCTGTGAACATTAATATTTGAAACTTTTGGCTCAGTATTATTATTGTAAAGCATAGTATATCATACATTAGGATGTGTTAAAATGTAAAAATTTATTTTAAAAAGTGTATGTTAACTCATTTCAATATCTGTTTCTAATATCTATTATTATGAATTTATAATTTAGTACATTGTTTACATGTTACTTCGTAGTAATTAAATGGAAATTTTGTTTGATATGTCATTACGCTTTGTTGTTGCTATCAGCATGTGTCCATGAACATCTTCATGACCTTGAAGTTTTCAGATCTTTTTATACATAAACACATACATATCTTAAACTAAAGCCCTTACTTAATTATGTCAATATGCACAGTTCACTTGCTGCACAGCCTCTACATGTGGTATTTAACTGTAAAGAGCGTGAGGAGGGGGCCCATTCTATCTTAGCCCGCCCCTGGTTAAGAGGTCATATGCTAATGATATTTTTGCGCTGCTTAGGGCCGAGAAAAACAGATAGTCTGACACTGAGCTATTTCTAATAATACTTAACTAATAATACCCCTATCATGGTCTGATTCAAAACTACCGCTACTGATCCGAAACAGACATTTCTTTAGATTGCTTTCAGTATCTGCCTTATAAATGAACATTTTGATACCGAATATCAAAGGACTCACTGTCTAAATCAAATAAAAAATATATCATTTATTTTATATACCATCAGTTCGTTTTATTCCAAAGTTTCCAGTAAAGAAAGTCCTACCACTTATCCACACTGGTGGCCCCTACGTGATTACACTTATCCACAACTCCTTCAAAAACCTTTTCGGCTTACCGTCGTACTGATCTTTTGAACTATCTGTTCATATGCAAATTGTACAGTAAACTATTAAAATTATTATTACTTAAAAAATAAAATGAAATAAAATGTTTTAATTATTATAGCATTCTGAATTTACATTTCGGTGGAGTAATGGATAGCGTCTTAGACTGCGGAATCGGAGAGCCAATTTCAAATTCTAGTTAAATCCATTACATTCACGTACATGCTAATACCCTTGGGTAAAGGTATGAATCCTCTTCTTCTCTCCCTAGCTATGGGTAAATAGCAGGACAGACAGGGTTCCATAGCCTTGGATGGCAACTGGTCTACCGCAGAAAGAAATGGAAACCTACTGCTGGGAAAAAATCTGCCTCGTCAGTCATGTATCGAAAGATTCATGATCACCTCTAGCGTGTCACGCATGGCACATATAACTGACCTACTGATAGTGTACAGTACATGTACACTGGAACTACAAAGAAATACACATATTTTGCATAAAAAATGAATTTTTTTTTTTTTTTTTTTTTTTTAATTTTATCTATTTGATAGCATTATAGCTGCAAGAGCCACTTTGTCGCCTGGCAACCAATAATTTCAGAGACCCAGTCTGCCACTGATTCTAATGATTTTATGGCATGATAGCCACTTTAAACTGAGCCTTCAACTATATTCCATTCCAGTGGGTGTACTGTACGGGGAAAGAAATCCAGTGACTAAATGAGACTCCGAAAAGGTAAAATGTGTACCCGAAAGAAACTTTGTACCCCTTTGATATTTTTCTCAGAATCGATAGTAAAAAAAAAAAAAAAAAAAAAGAACCACCTTTCTGTTTACGCTCCTGCTTTTCGCTCATCACGTGAGTAGCCTCACACGTGATCAAACCACACTGTTTGTATCAGAAGGCTAAGACTAAGAGTTATCGTTATCAGACATAAGGGTAGTAGTAGTATTTCTGTGCCATCGTAAGTTGTGTTTCTTTGAATGAAAAGTGCACGCGGAATTTTCACAGCTACAACTGATATTTGAGCGAACGTTGTTTTGTTAATTTTTTTTATAGAAAAGCGCTTAAGAGTGCATTTACCGTGGCTTGAAATATGGTGTTTCGACCAACTTTTAAAAGGTTTTCTTACCTCAACCCCACTTTGATACGAATATTCACTCAGCAAAGCTATGGTGAGTAAAAAAAATAATGTTTTCATTATTTTTATTTAGTTCGATTATTAATACTTTTTTTTATTTATTTAATTAATGGTTTAGTGGGAGACGATGAGGATCCATACAGGACTCGCGATACCCGCGTGTGCGAAGCTTTCCACATACAGTACAGGGTTAAGTGACTTTCGCTGAGTGCTCTATATCTGTGACCCTGTACCGGACTAGACTGACTGAGCATATGTCTTATTTTAAATGTTAAGAATCCTTTTTTATGCATTTGAAAAAGATCTGTAGGACGATTTACTTTTTAGACTTTCTTTATTAATTAATAATGTAAATAACATTTGTTTCAAATCAGGTACCTTTTTTTAGTCAGCTAATATTCCTCAAATAAAGTTTCAGAAAAGTATATTTTATTTTTGGAAGATTTTTTAATACAAAGAATTATTGCGATGACAGACGACTAAAAAAGGATTAGCTATTATTTTTAGAGAAAAAAAAACTCTTTCCAGTCAGTTTAGTTTTTGAAATAAGCAAAGTATTGGAAATTAAATTATTAACTTTAGCTTAAAAAATTTTCAAGAAAGATTTCTCTTTTTTTTTTCTTTAATTAATTTTAAAACTTTAGGTATCGCGTTTTTTTTTTTTTTTTTTGTTGTTTTTTTGTGGAGGCTCTCAAGTCAAGTGTAATTTAACAGCAATAATTTTACCTAGTCCAGTGGTACAAGAATGAAGGTCTGGTGTCGTGTAGTTGCTTATATATCACGACACCAGACCATTGGCATTTTTACAGTATTGTTTGCGTTGAAGGGGGTAGGATTTTTAAAAGAATTCTAAATTTTCAGGTGAACTTAGAACATTTTCAGTGTAAACACCCTCTCTGTAAATTTTCCTCCCGTCCATCTATGCATAATATATATATAAAAAAAAAACAAAAAAAAAAACTATTATTTAATTTAAAGAAAGACCCATTCTCGGAGAGACTTGTTTTTACTTGTCTGAAAGAGTGGTACCCTCTGGAATATAGTGACTGCTATGAATTAGTTATCGTTTTAACACTTTGTGTCTTTTTAAAAGCAGTACTTCCGCTATAGACGCGTTTATTTTACTTTTACCCTAAATTATATTTTTTTACGTGTGTGAGGAGAAAACAGTTGAAACACTTTTTCCGTCGTAAGCAAAATGACACGATTTGTAGCGAAAAAAAGCACCATTTGGCGACGTCATCACATATGGGACCACTTTTTCTAACAATTTCCCAACAAATTTATCTCCTTCATATCGAACGTAAATCTCTTGAACAAAAGAAAAAAAAACTCATATTCTGAATCCTTCTTTGTAATATCGAAATAGTGAACACTGAAATTATAACTTATTAATATTATTACAAATACTTTTTTCTTTCTGAAAGTAAAAAAACTGAATTTAATTTTCTCTCCTGGAAGAGAAATGCACAATCCAAATAATACATGTGAATATTTTTTTTTATTATTTTATAAAGCAGGAAAAAAATTCTGCTTATTGAAAAATTTTATGGGACTACCTAACTCTGTCGTAACAAATATCTCCCTCTGTCTTTTCTACAAATATTTTCATGGCAACCGCTCTGACGAGCTATTTTCCCTGGTACCCCAACTGCATGAATTTTTAAGCGTGCTACTAGGTTGGCATCTAGGTCCCCCCAGCCTTTTACTATTGAAACACTTCCCGACGGTGGAACTCCCTTCCTCTTACTTGCTTCCCTGGTAACTATAATATTCAACAATTTTTTAAATGTAATGACAATCGACATTTTCTGATGTCTTGATCCTCGTTCTTCTTTTTATCCTTTTCTCAATTCCCCTTATACTCGGTCCTTTCTCTTACTTGCACTCTCTGTAACCCTTTGTGTACTAGTGGCACTCCCACCTTGCTTGGGTGTGAAATGCTTAAAAAAATTGGGGGAGGGGGTAATCAAAATCCAAAGACGGATAGGTAATGTGATCGGTCCTGATTTGAGGTCTTGACTCCAATCATTTTTGCACCGACGTAATTTGGCTTCCCTCTGTCTTTTCTATAAATATTTTCATGGCATCTGCTCTGACGAGCTATTTTTGCTGGTACCCCGACTGCATGAATTTAAGCGTGCTACTAGGTTGGCACCTCGGTCCTATCCTTTTACTGTCGAAACAGTTAAATGTAACCGCCTTTTCTACTCCAACAGTTTTCTCTCGCACTTCCCGACGGTGGAACTCCCTTCCTCTTACATGCTTCCCTGGTAGCTATAATCTTCAACAATTTAAATGTAATCGACATTTTCTGATGCCCTGATCCCCGTTCTTCATTTTATCCTTTCCTCAATCCCCCCTATACTCAGTCCTTTCTCTTACTTGCACTCTCTGTGACCCTTTGTGTACTAGTGGTACTCCCACCTTGCTTGGGGGTAAAATGCTTAAAAAAAAGGGGGTGACAAGCTGAGATACCAGTTCAGGACCATTGTAAAAAAGATTCCGATAAGAAAAATTGTCTAGCAGAGCACACTGAGTCTACTTTCCTAGCAGCAGACCTGGCAATTAATTCAATATACTATTTCCGCATCATGTCAACAGAAAACATTAACCCAAGAAGATGCAATGAGCCAGTCTCTTGGAAGTTAGCATCAGTCATACTGATGGAAGGTAGAAAGGGTTCTCTCAGATGACTAATACTAGAATACTAGAGCAATTTCATTTCGGAGGCGTTAGAATTAACAAAACCATTCTTTGTCTCAATTAACAGCAGAATGTAAGTTATTTTTTTCAGCTACCAGGTTGACCTTATCAAACTGATCAGACTTACTATTAAAATTTTTTAAAGTGCTAAAAGGGTTTTAATTTTAAATTAAAACCCTTCTTAGCACTTTGTAGGTGACTATTTTCGTCTAGCAAAATATTAGTCCTGCCAATGTTAAATTTGAATTTCCTGTCTGTGTAGTCATATCCTTCTATAGAACACCTAAGTCTTGACTGAAATTGAGAGCCAGGCTACTGCAATTTTAAATATACAGAACTAATATATAAAACACTATATTTTGATGAGATTCCATATACACAGGAATTATGAATGATGCAGAGTTCTAAATGTTACGATAGGAATAAATTGGTTGTCATCAGCATAGATACCGAGTTGAGAAATTATGCTATCAGAATGGAAGCCAGGAACAATGTTGGTCCAAGGATATAGCTCTGAGGGACACCTGCATTAATTTAAAAAGATCTAGATGAGTGGCAATTCAAGATAACTATCATTTCACAATTTGATAAGATTGAATCAGTTCAAAAATTTATTAAAAAATGCCATAACCTTTCAACTTGTGAAGGCCCATATAACAATCCCTGTCAAATGCCTTGAGGATATCCAAATCAACAGCCTGAGCTTTATTCTTAACTAAAGCTTGAATAAAAACTCTTTCAGAAATAATCGTTAATAGTAATACATCAACAGTTAAACCTAGAGAAGCAAAAGTTATATTGCTTCTCTAAAGGAAGACCCAGTGAGTTGATCAGAGCCTCTCGTACTTTGCCAAAAAGAAATAGAATGCTAGGCTGATAAAAGGATCAGATGTTTTGCTTCTCAAAAAAGATTTTACACTTTGAAAACTTTTAAGGACACTTTCTTTTTTGAACTTTTTAAAATCTTTACATTTTTATAATTCCATGCAACGCATGTTCAGTTTCAGCTTGAACTCACTAGAGAGAATAATTTGTTTAAATGTAGACAAATCAAAAAGGAATATTGTTTTTTCCCAAATTTACAGCTGAAATTGTAATCTGCCTCAAGTTTCATAGGAAACAAGTTGGAAATATTTTTCTTGTAATTATACAAACATGTTACAATTTTTGTCAGTGTTCTGAAGGTGTCAAGAAGAGTAAAAAAAAAAATCGTAAAGAATTCCCGCTTTCACAACATCTCAAGGTATACAGTACTTTTTATTTTATTTCGTAGCATTGCTTCAGACGATTTACATAACAAACTCTGATTTTATTTATGATGTACATGCAAGGAAAATAAAATTAAAATGTGTAGAAAATAGTTTGCAACATTAATGGGCTATATACTTATTTTAAAACGTGACTATTATTGAGTTATTGATGTAGTTAAACTTTTGTATTTATTTCCTAGGTTTCGTTTTTGTTTTTTCTTTTTAGCTGGTTTAACCTGGGAGGGGCGATTGTTTGGGTTTATATTTTGCTTCTTTTTTGCGTTTTTTTATTTTTTACTTGCTTTTATTTGGATTTTTGGCTCTTTTTTGATTGTTTTGTTTGTTTTTGTTTATTTTTGGCTTGTTTTTGTTTGTTTGTTTTTTTGGCTTGTTTTTGTTTGTTTGTTTGTTTTTTTGGCTTGTTTTTGTTTGTTTGTTTTTTTTTGGGGGGGTTGCTTGTTTTTGTTTGTTTTTTTGGCTCGTTTTTGTTTGTTGTTTTGGCTCTTTTTTTAATTGCGTGCTTGTTTTCGTCATTTGTTTTGTTTTTTATTTTTATTTTGGCGGCTGCTTGTTTTATTTCTTTTTTTTTTTTTTTTTTTTTTTTACGGTTGTTTTTATTGTTGTCGACGTGTTTATTGTTACTATTATTATTTATATTGGATTTGTGTGGTGCTGTTTTTTGTTGTGTAACTTTTAAAAAGTTACACCCCCTCCAAAAAAAAGAAAAAAGAAATGGCTGCTAATGTTCTCATTTAAGCCATTATTAATGGAATGTGTCAGTGATTTTTGAATGTTGGATGATTAATAATGCCTTAGTCGGCATGCTATTATATAGCGATTGCTATGTTTTTCACACCCACATACACTCCAAGTCATTTTATTCGCCTACTACTACCTTTGTATAGGACAATTTAGCCATCGCAGTCGTTCCTTTTGAATCTTTTGGTTCTGAGCATACTTACTTACTACCTATTCTGTTTAGTACGTGTGTAGTGATTGGTTAATTTTTATTGACCAATCACATATTTTTAATGTAAGATAAAGTTTTACCACGGTTCCATGAGAGCCTACCTCTTTT